GATGAAAGGAACTTGCTTGATATCTACATTATTGAATAAAATCAGCACTAGCACAGTGCTCATGAAAATAGCTAAAATATGGACAAGGAATAAAACAAATCATTTGGATCCAACTGTGAGCAAATCTTGTTTGAAGAAAAGAAAGAGCAAAAGGAAGAAAAGCATCATTGCCAGCTAGGCTTTACCTGCTTTTCCTGGTATTAAAAAATAAAATAAAAAATAGGGAGCAATTGTAACATTTTGAGAAGATAGTTTCAAATATATATGACAATAGCAAATGATTGGGCTAAATTTTAGTCTTTGTACTAAAGTGAATTAAAAATGAAAGAAAAAAGTGCCTCTAGCTCTTAGGATGGGTGATCCAAAGGTTTGCTGTAATCCTGTGTACCTTATAAAGTTTACTTCATGATACATCTCAATCTGATCTAAGTTACTTTACTGTTGCAAAGGGTGATTAGAAACCCTTTTTTTGTGCTTAGGAAAAGTATCCTCAGTTCTAGCAGGCTTAATGCAATAATCAGCAGTTCTTAATTAAAGGTTTTTCTTCCCTCTCTTCTGAAATTACAAGCATGAACTTTTATTCCTTATGTCCCATTTGATTTTAAATATAATTTTGGATAGAAATACTAGAATTATACTGTGGCGATTTTGGACATAAACACTCTCTCCAGTTGTGCACCATTTACATGGGATTGCAGGAATAAAACTCACCTTCTTGTCTAAAGGAAAGTATTTGATAATTCATCTTGAACACCAAATGGGAAGGAAGTGGAAGTTTTTACTTTTTATCCAGCAGCTGGTTTTTAATGCATTCATCAAGTTTGTAAGAAATAAAATTCAATCATCTTCTGCTTCCCAGACTATGGGTTATTCTAGAGTAGAGCATTTTAAGAGTATCTACTTCCTGGTTCAGTTGGCTAGTAATCAACAGGTTCTTACCGCCAGTTTCCCCCCCAAGATCTTCATGGTCTGTGATTCCAAACGGGATCAGTTCCTTTGGGAGCACAGGTAATGCAGGAAGAAGTTGTGTCCCCCCAGCTGTTGTCTCTGGGATGGCACTCATTTGGATTAATTTTGCTCGTATTTGATAGATTTTATTACATGCCAAGATTTTATTATATGCCAAGAAATGGCAGTATCTGGACCTAAGTACGGCTTTATGCTGTGAGTTTAGGTACCTTCTTTGAAAGAAAACCGCTACTGTATTATCAGACAACATATACCAGCTACGTTGGTAGGAAATCTATAAATTAAAGTGGAGAAACCGCATGTCAGTGTATCTGATCCTTCTAAAGGTGACCGGCTGTTTAATCAGTTTGTCTGATTGCATGTACCAGAAAGAAGATTTATGTTTGTGTACCTGCCAAAGCCAAGGCTTTTGATTATAAAAAAAAGGTCAATTACATAACAAAGCATTTGCAAATGCAGTGTTACAGGAGAGTACAATTTCATGGCTTTTACCAAAGAAGTTCTCTCCTCAATTATTTATATTTGCACGTTCACCATGCAAAATCTGTTTTCTAAATGAAATAATACTCCCCCTAGAATTTCTGAAGGGGAAAACAAGTGTTGAGTAATAAAGCCCTTAAGAATCTTGCTTTGGGGTTTTTTTGTATGTATGCAAAAACATACATTCAGATAAAGCTGAAGTTGTCAGAAAATGTTACAAAATGCAGTGATACAACATGTCCTGCAGCTACTAGGTTCAACCAAAGCTCAGAAATGCACTTTTCTAATGGACTGTCTTCCTCATATGCTTATACTAGAATGAAGATGTCCTAGTCAGTCAGGGAGGCAGCATGATATAATTAATGACTCCTTTATAGCAGTTTCCCCCGTTATATCATTCAGTGTGATCTGATTGATTTATAATACACGATTTTACATGAGGGCTACTTATTTCTAAATGTTGAAGTTCATGGAAATGTTTCTGCTGTGATTGGCACAGAGCCAATTGCACTGGATTTTAAACACACACACACAAAAAAGCTGCATCCATCCATAAATATCAGTTGCAGAAAAAATATTTAAACTCCTGAGCTGAGCATCAGCTTTCCTCAGCAAATGCAGGTCTTGAACACTTCTGAATGAAATGAATATCTGCCTTTTGACTGGTCTGCAGAAAAGTAGTATTAGCCATGAGAGACTCTAATTATTTTTTTCTTTTTTTAAGATAGAAATGGGCTTTGAAAATACATTTCACAGAATTTGCCATTAGCAAGAAATAGCAAGACAATTACAGGTGGTTGAAAATCAGTTGTCTGCGATAATCTCCAGATTTCATGTGTTCATAGCTTTCTGAAATACACTCCAAGTATTTTTATATTTGGGATTTTTTTTTTAATAAAGATTTCAGCATGTTAGAGAGAAATTTCATTATTTTTTGCATGAAAGATACTTCAGCTGTTGTTGAGGGTGGAAAAAGACCTGACCATCAGCTGAGGCTGAGAACTAAAACATGGCTGCTCAGTGAAGGCTAGGTTCACAAAGGCACTTAACTGCTGTAACACAGTATTTAACTTCTAGCTTTCAGACTTCCAAGACATGATAGCTACTTACCTCTCTGACTACCCTTGTAATAAAATAAGGCTCATGTAAATATTTATGATATTTGATATATATAAATACAAAGACAGAGGCTGTCTTCTCTCCTCTTGCTATGCTTTTAAAGAATGAAATTGTCAGGAAAATTTTGTGCAAGTTCAAGATCCTATATGTGCTGTTAGTGCAAGTACAAAGTGGTTTTGGGAATTAAGTTCTGTATGGGAGAACATGTGGATTCCAGCTGAACTCAGGGGTCAACTAGGTGCTGACAACTTTACATTGACATGACTTTTGGGCCGGGGAAGAAGCATAGTTTTAAGCATAAAAGGAACTTTGTTGATAAAACTCTCAGTACCCACAGGCAGAAATTACTCAGGCTTTAAGCAGCAATCTCAAAGTAATTTTGAAGATTCCATGGGTATATGTATTCTGCTAACATGGCTGCTAAACTTTTTGTAAAAATGGGCCTGTTCTAAGTTTGGAGAGAAAAAGTTAAAACAGTTGGATAAAAGCCTCTAAAAAATAGTTCTGAGCAGTGGAAAATGAAGTCCAGCTTTCCTTTTTGCATTTTCTGCTGTTTAATAAGGTGAAAGTTCCCCCTGGTGCTTTTTTAACCCATGGTTCATTCATAACATCATTCCTCCACATGGATTCTTTGATATCTGTGAGGAACTGACCTCATGCTTCAGCCTTTTCCTCAATAAAGGCAGTAACAGATCCTCTCTTTTTCTTCTCCCAGCTGTCTATTTTCAAAAAACTCATAGGAACTTCATGTTCTGAGACCTGAAGTCCTCTGTCAAACTTGATTGAAATTGGCTAAAGATTCAAAGCTATCAGAAAAGGATGGATAAATATACTTTTACACACACCATCAGATTGTTGTGCTAGTAGAGTGCATTTCCCTAGGAAATGAAGGCAAAATTCATTTCTGAGAATACTCAGAAGCATCTGCTATAACTCTTAACAGAGTCATTTTCATGTAAAAATGTCCAGTGTGAAGAATATGTTCTGCATACTTCTCTAAAAATCAGTGTTGCATTTATTCATAAACCAACAGAATGAGTGAAAGGAGTGCTGTTGCTTTGCACTTTCCTGTCCAGGAATTTCAAAATCTCTGAGGAACCTGTAGGCCTTTGTCATTGCTCTAGATTGTCACCTCAGCACAAGAAACTTGTGCTCCACTGCACCATGACAACTTGTTATTGCAGTATACCTAAGGTATGCTTTTAATGCAAAATTTCTGGCCTGAAAACATATATTGTAGTAGTACATAGGATTTTAAGTCTGAGATGAAACAATTAAATATGGAAATGAGAGGATGAGGGAAATAATATTTACTCAAGGAACTTCACATGATTGTCAGACGTGACTAATTTGTGCGTTTTAAATTTAAGTATGGAGGATTCAGTGAATGTCCTCCAGATGATGATTTACCATACCCTTCCAGAGGTAGGATAAATAAAGAAACAGCCAAAAAGGACCTATTTCTCTCCACTGAACACAGAAGATACATTCCTGAATAGATGACCACCGTTTTGATGACTAAAAATGATGAAGTAAAGGGAAAAAATAATGGAGAAGCCTTATGCAAAAACACTTCTCTAACCTCCATGCTCCCTCTCAAGGAAACCTACACCATTCCAGACCAAACTGTAACACATATTACTAAAAAAATAATATCTACACACTACTTCTTTCTGTCAGCCATGCCCAGACTGACTGGAAATCCTAAACTCATTGGGTGTCTTTCCATTGATGCTGGTGGCTGCTTTAAGTTCACCACTTGCAGCCATGTTGTACCATGCTGATATGGAAATAGAAATGCATTAGACTGCTGTCGATAATGCTTTTGTCACTCGAGATGTTGAAAGCATACAAAAAAACACCCTGCCTGATCTCCTTATGAAATCGTCTGAGAAGACAGAAGGATGTTTTTTCCTGAAAACAGAATGATATCCCTCTGTCATGGTGCAGTTCTAAATAATTTTATAGAAATCATCACAATTGTCTGGATTTACTATGCTTTAATGAAGTGGAGAATCTGATCCAGTGACAATGTGACTGACAGTTCTAGCTTGAGTAGCAAGAGCATGGGGTCTCCTCAGGTTCCTCTGTGTTTAGGATCAGTCAGATACTGTCCAGCTGATTCCCTGGAAGTTTTTCCTTCTCTTTCCAGTAGACTTTGTGGGGGAGGGCTGGGCAGACAAATACTGCCATCAGTAGGTCATTGTTGATTTTTGCATTCCTGAAAATTGCTGCTGGCTGTACTAAATGAAATTAATTGACAGGAATCAATTAGTCTCATAGGAGAATGTTATTAAGGGTTGAGTTCTTTCCACAAATTGCCCCTTCTGCACTTATTGCCTGAAAGGCATAATCTCAGCAATCCCAAAATTCACAGAACAGGAATTGATTTCCTCCTTTTTCTTTTTCTTTCCCCCCCTTAAATTCTGCAGGTCAGTCCCACCCCAGGGTGCATCCGGGCGTTAATGAAGATGTTGTACTGCCCTTACTGCAGAGGACTTCCCACTGTGAAACCTTGCAACAACTATTGCCTCAATGTAATGAAGGGCTGCCTAGCAAATCAGGCTGATTTGGATACTGAGTGGAATCTGTTCATAGGTAAGAAGAGTTTAAATATTAGTGAAGGGAAATGCTTATAATGGCAAATATCTGCAGAGTTTTGTGAGGTTAGAAGACACTGTTGATATTCGCAATGAAGCAACTGCAGATGTACCTTGCTTTCTAATTGACCTTATGGCTTTCAGTAGGAGATTACTCTTCTCCTCCTGAGCCAGTAACATTTTATATTTCATATTTCAAAAGGAATGGTGTGGTGTTACGGCTTCTGAGATGAATTATTACATGATACGTGAAATGCTGAGAAAGCTTTCATTGAGGATTTGATAATGAGCTTAACGTGGCAGAAATAGTATGTATTACAACTGAAAACTAGGCTTTTGCAAGCTAAGAGAGTAACACTATATATCCAGTCAACATAAATCACAACAGCTGCTGTTCTTTATTCTGGTAGTATATAGGCAAAAATCTTCAAAAGTTACATAAATGACAAATTATTAATTCCTTGTTCTGGACTGAAGTATGTTAGTCTCCCTTTCACTGTGTTGAATAGAAAGTACCAAACATGCAATCAAAATGTTAAGATTGAGCACACAGTATGTATTTAAGGAAGACTGCTATTACAGTTTTTCTTTACTCAAATAAACTAAGAAATTTCCTTTAAACAGCCATTCAGATATCCTGTAACAAAGAAAAACAACAAAAAAAAACCACACAAAAACAAACAAAAAAAGTCACCCAGAAGAGTAATATTTCACAAGAAATAACAGCTTCAAGTTGCTTTTGATGATGGACAAAATAGGATGAAGAATTAGGTAAGGCTAACGATTACATAGAAAGAAGAGAAACAGGTAGTTACACCAGGCACTAATGAGCATCACAGTCTAGACTGGATTTCAGGAAAGTAAAAGCACCTGGAAAACATGGGATGAAACACTTTTTATGACAACTAAAGAAAAGGAATGTATTTTCTAATTTTGAAAAGGCAAAATACAAGCAATCTCATCTTTCTTAATTTCAAACCCCACTGACCAATGTGACTTTAAAAATTTGACTCTGACTCATTCATGGATTTTCACTTTACCCAGTGGTGCAAGATGGATAGGAAAAGGAAAACAGGCTGAAAAATGAATCAGAGCATGAAGAGTGAAAAACATCCAGTGCTCTATAAAAACAGCACATGGCAAAAATGCAAACAACAATAATAAACAAATATTGTAAATAAATGTGTCTTCTCAGTTCCTCCAGCTGGTTAAAGGAGCTGACACCACAAGAAGTGCTGTATGGAAGGGTAACTGTGGGATTACTGGTGTGAAAAGAAGAGTCAGTTCATCCTCAGAAAGCTAAGTAGGAGCTGATGGGAAAACAATACCAATCTATTGAAGACATTGAATAAGTTACTACCCTTTACCATTAAAGAGTAAGCAAGAGCTGGATTGTCATCAATTCTGATCAAAGAAAATAATGTAGGCTTTTAGAAAAACAAACAAAGAAAACCCCAAACATTTTAACTGAAATAAACAGCAGGTTTTATTAAGGCAAACAGATGTTCAAATCAAAAGCTGAAAGGTAGGATTTCAGGTCTTAAGAGAAAGCACCTTTTCTGGTGCTTTAAATTCTGTAAGAGTGCTGGGCAGGGTGAGGTATGTGTTGGAAAGCATGGAAATGCTTACAGATTGAGACTTTCAGAGTCTTTGATGCAAAGCCCTTGTCTTCATCACTGTCCTTCAGATTTTTATTGTTCCTGTTCTCAGAAAAGAAAAACTGCATGAAAGCTTGTAAGTTATGTTAAAACAGAGTGGTAATTCATTAAATGCTGTGCAATACATTTTGTGCTTCCTTAAAGGTAAGCAGGTTTAAAGGCAATTATCCCTTCAGGTCAGTGATGACAAGGCAGTATAAAGTACAATCACATCAAGAAATGTTTCCTCTTTCTTCTACCTATGCAACATCTCCTCAACAACTTGATGGGGAAGGGAATAGAGAGGGAGAGATGGAGATTTTCCTGTGTTTGGAAAAGGTATTCTGTTTTATCCCATTTTTTAGGCCTCTGACAGTTTTGCTGAGAATGAGGGATCTTAGTCCTTCCTTTCTAAAAGACTGAAATGTAGCAAGTTGTCGCTATCTCTGACAGCTGTCAGAGGCTTTCTAATAACACACATAATTCCCTTCGTATTAAACACAACAAAACTTCTACTCACTGAATTAATACAGACGGCACCACTTTACAGCACCGCTGAGCTATGAAAGATTGGAAGTTATGCATGAGCAGTTTTTATCTCTATTCCAATACTAGGAACCATGAACTAGGAAAAATAAAAAAAAAAAAAAAATACTAATTTTGTGCACTAACAGTCTCAGCGTAGGCAGGAATCCCAAATGTTAGAGCATATTAATACACAAGAAGATAGTTTTGCTTCACTCATACTCTGTGTATTGCAAAAATGTTTTGACAGAAGTGAGTATTAGGAGAAAATTCTCAGATGTGTTGTCAGTAACTAAGCAAATTCTATTGTTTGGACTGTCTCTGGTATTGTTCTGTAGTTCCTGCAATTGTCCAGCAACACCCAAGATATGCAAGTGCGGAGGAGCAGAGGAAAGTAAATGGGGTCTCTGACAACAGGATGTGTTACGTGTTCCACCTAGTTTATAAATATTAAAGTCGGGACTGAAAACACATTTATATAGCACTAATAAATCTTGCATCTACTTTCAAAGCTAGGGAGAGTGGGACAGCTTCCCCTAAACATCTGGTGCTTTCCAAGATTTTATAGACTGTGAAAATTGGGAAGAGGTGAAACAGCTGCAGCAGCATGACACATGGTTTATTATATTTTTCCTGTTTGTGTCACCTTAAGGTCTGTGTCCTTTTCATGTAACATTTCATTACAGACTTTTTGTATTTTGTCGCCTTCATTACTGCACAATAAAAGCCAAATGAACCACATCTCACTCTAGCAGAAATCCTCTAAAATTCAGAATTTTGCCTGAGAAAGGAAGACAGTCTTTAATAAATATATTATAGCTATAAAACTATAATGAATAAATGCTTCTTCTAGGTATCTATATAAAATAGGTAAGAGGTATTTAAAAGTAAACCAGTCACACTGACTTTGGACATGTGTATTTTGGCAAAGCTTGTTTTGCTTGTTAATTACGCCTCATAATCTCCTTTGCACCAGCCTCAAACAAAGTTAGCAAGTGAAAGATAAAAAGCACAGTAGAGGAACTGTACTGCTGAGGAAGGAGGTTGCCTCAGGGGAGGAGCTGACTGATTCTGTGCCATGGGGAAAAAGGGATTTTCTTTGTCTCATGGCCCAACAGGTATAGTCAAAATTATACCAATTAACAGCAATAAAGATCAGGGATCCCACTGTTCGTTCTGTCATGAAAACACAGAAGAGACAGATAAAATTATTCCCATTTACAAAAATTCAAACCCCATCTATCTTAGGGAATTACTTTCAATTTTAGCAATACTGTTAGTTGTCTTTCTCTAGCTACTCTGTATTTCAGTCCCTGTTTCTATCTTGAGATTGTTTGACTTTCCTTAACATTGGCTTTCTCTACAATTGATCATTTATTTCCTTTTAACTGCTCTTTTTCTCAAGCAGGAATGTCAGTCAAGGAATGAGCTCCCCTTAGTGGGCACCACACTTTCTCTTGGTGCCCTCCTTCAGCTTCAGAATCAACACCCTCAAAAAGATGATTTCCATGAAAGCAGGTGCATCTCATTCTGACCACTGCGTTATCCACTAGTTCATATCCACAGCTATCCTTCTGATCAGGCTGGAGAGCAAGTGGCTTTGCTAGCAGTGTCTTCAATATTTGACAAGCTCTGTAGTATATAGCAAGGCAGATCAGCATGTGGTGTAGAGCTCAAGGCCAGCAAAGCTGGCATCCAGGCTCAGAGATCCAGAGCCACCTCTTCTGCCACTGCCGTGCCAGACTTCAGCCACAGGAGAAAATCGTATCTGGAAATTTTCAGCAAAAGCTTCTCCTTCCAGTCTTGAAGTTGTTTCATGTAATGACATTACGGCAGCTCTGCACTGAAAATAAATTTTCTCATTATTGTGCTTTAAGAATACCTCTTTTAATTCTCATCAGTATGACTCAGACACCTTAGGAGACCTCTTGAGGTACAGCATACCATTCAGTCTCACTTGATTGTTTTAAGCAGAACTCCCCATCAAAACCTTAACTACTTATTCCTAATTGAAGCTTTACAGTGATGAAAATATGCAGTCAGTTTTATTTAATGCTTACAAAAGCCCTCAGGATAAGGACAGACATTTTCTTTTTAGTGCTTCAAAAGACCACCTAAATTTGTCCTTTTTAATGGTTCTATTTTAAGTATGACACCAAGACCTAATGGCTTGCTTAGAATATATAGGAGAACCCCTGAAATAAAGGGAACATCACCATTCTGTGAGGTAAATAATGTGTAGAAGAAGGAAACTGTATTAGCTGTTCCCCTACTGTTTTTTTCCCCTCAGAAGTAGAAAGGATACACAACCTGAGCATGTAATTCCTTAGATGGTAATGAATTCAGCCTGAGAGAAGCTTTCTGAAGTTGTGGGAGTGACAGCAGCATGCAAATAGCACCAGCACTTGCCTGATGCTTAAACTCTACTTGCCCTGCTAAATCTCTGTGACTCCTCCTGGGGCAATGCAGTTTCTTACAAGCAGCTCACAGCATCTGTTGCCCTGTATATTTGCTCTAGCATATGCCACTGAAGAAGGAGGTTCCCTTCTGTGGGACTATAGGAATCTTCTGCTCCAGTTACTGGCTAGGACTCATCTGGCCTGATCTTGCTGTTCACTGACACCGTTGGCAACTCTTTATGAGAAAGATGCATCCTGAAAGGATGCTAAGGGCTTCACTCCAGGTGACTCTTGAAACCTGAAGCTCCTGAAGAGGAGCTGTGGATTCTTGGAAATGCAAATGCTTAGTTGAACGATAGCATCAAATTTCCTGGGCTCCTGAACTTTGGCATGACTTGTGGAAATGAAGTATGGTGATTAACTATGACATTTTTGTT